TCATACAAATTTAAAATACAACAATTATTTAAATAAATAAAAGTTGATATAATATTAAATTTAAAGTTTTACTTTATTACCTCAATGATTCTTGTTGGTTCTCGAATATCAGACACTARTAGTCGTTTATCATAATTTTATTTTTGTATTATAATAAAGTCGTAAAAAATTCCTATATAAAATTGTTTGTAAATATCGTTAACCTAATATACCCATCAAGACTCTTCGATAATACGTTTCCGGCACTGCAGCGGTATTCTGTAACTCGATAAGCTAGCTTAACCACAGAATAACCAGAAGAGACACTTTTTCAGTTTAACATGGGTTCTTATGGGGTACAGATTTGCAACACCTGGTGGAATATCAGTGCTGCCGGTAGAAAGATAATTCTCATTATTCTTTGTTTCTAGCGCGGCTGTTATTTCCCGAACAGGGGCAATTACCTTTAGCCTAATAAGTAATAAAGTCGTAAATTGCAATATACATGGATACACTGATATTCCACCAAATTGAATAGTATGTTCCCAATTTTTGAGAGCTCAGCGAGTGGTTATTCTGTGGCTTAACTACATCTTTCGATTCGTTACGCTAACGAAAATTTTCTTATCGAATATTATCGATAAATGCGATTYTATACTACAGATATTCGTTAACCTAACAACTATTTTCGTTAAAACTGTCGATAGTGAAAATAAAATATCGTTAACCTAATACACCCATCAAGACTCCTCGTTAATACTTACCGGGGATGGATAAGAGTAAAAAGTCATATTTCGTGTTATCATTGATCTGTTTTCGTGCATTCGTACCTATATATAATTTTCAAATTTTAATCTTACGATTTTGGAAGTATTAATAATTATTACTAAGTACTAACTAAGTTACTATTTTCAGAAATTAACTTAGTTAGGTTCAGTTATTTTTGATATTAAAGTAACTTAACTTTAAATACCTAGTTGAAAAAAGTGACTAACTTGCCCAACTTTGTCTAACTTCTTAGTACGATCGTTCTCTCAGATACACGTCATGGCTCTAGAATTTTTAAGGTGGGAACTGATGCTGTTGGAGGAAAGAGTTAGATTACAAGAACGGCGAATCRAAAGAAGGGTTTTGAGAGATACACAAGATCTTTTTGATCTCCCTCGTGAAGAATTTCTATTTATGTTTCGAATAAGTCCCGAACTAGCATTTGACGTGATAAATGCTATTAGGCCTTTATTACAAGGTCAACGTTCTTAAGGATTATCTCCAGAAGTGCAAGTAAGTTAATTTTGTTTCAATTTTGATAAGTATTTGATTTTCAAATACAGATATATCTAAAGAGTATTTAAAAAGTATTCTAAATACTACAACTATACTGTATACTATTACTCACATACTTTACAAGACTGCAATGTAGTTACAATTTGTTTCTCTTTTATGTAAATAAAGTGTCTATTAATTAAATGTTTATCTGTATTTTTTTTTCAGTTCCTAGTTACTGTAGCGTCCCAGCATACAGGAKGACAAACGACTGGTGTTGAGGTAGATGGATTGGGTGTAATAAGTATAACAACTTAATTTGTGATTAATTTATTAGATATTTATTTGATTACTATGTAAATAAAACACTTTTACTGCACAAAATGATTTGGTTG